CTAACCCGGTGACTGTAAAAGGGGGTGACTGTTAAAGTGGTGACTTTAACATGGTGCGGGAAAGTGGTGACTTTTAACATGGTTTACTGTAAAGTGGTTGGGGCTGTAAAAGTGGTGACTGTAAAATGGTGACGGGAAAGTGGTGATTTTTAACTTTGGGGACTGTAACGTTGGGTTTACTGTAACGTTTGGGGGCTGTAACCCTGGTGACTGTAAAAGTGGGGGGACTAACCTGGTGATGTAACCTGGTGACTGTAACCCGGTGGGCTGTAAAACTGGTGACTACCCCCGCTGACTGTAATCTGGTGACTGTAAACCCGGGACTTTTAACTTGGTGAATTTTAACCTGGTGACTGTAATCTGGTTGACTTCCCCCGGTGGGCTGTTAAAATTTGGGGACTGTAACTTGGTGACGGTTAAACCTTTGGTGACTGTAATGGTGACTTTTAAACTGGTGATGTTAAACTGGTGCTGTAACCTGGTGACTGTAATCCCGGTGGGCTGTAATTGGTGGGCTCTCCCCCGGTTGGGCTGTTAAAATTTGGGGACTTAATATGGTTTACTGTTTAATTTTGGGGCTGTAAACCCGGTGGGCTGTAATTGGTGACTGTAATCTGGTGACTGTAATTGGTTGGGAAAGTAACCTGGTGGAAATGTAATCTGGTGACTCTCCCCTGGTGACTGTAATCTGGGGGACTGTAACATGGCGACTTTAAATCTGGTGACTGTAAACATGGTGACTGCAATTGGTGACTGAACCGGTGAAATGTAACCTGGTGATTGTATCCTGGTGATGTAACCTGGGTGACTGTAAACCCGGGGGGCTTTTTCCCCGGGACTGTAAACCCGGTGACTATAAACCCGGGGGACGGTAATGGTGGGCTGTTAACCCGGTGATTGTTAAACCCGGTGACTAACCCGGTGGCTGTTTAAAACCCGGTGCGTAACCTGGTTGGGCTGTAGCCTGGTGACTGCAAACCTGGTGGACTGTAAACCGGTGACTGTTAAAACCCTTGGGGGACTCTCCCCTGGTGACTGTTAAATTTGGGGCCGTCCCCAGGCGTTTTAAAACCCGGGACTTCAAATGGTTTGGGTGTCCCCTGGTGACTGTAAACTTTGGGGACTGTAACCTGGTGGGCTCTCCCCCGGTGGCCCGTCTCCCGGTGACTTAACCTGGTGGGGTGTCCCCTGGTTTACTGTTCCTGGTGGGCGTAAACCTTTGGGGACTTTAACCCGGTGACTCTCCCCCGGTTTGGGTGCCACCTGGGGATGTCCCCCGGGACTCTAACCCGGGTGTTCTGTCCCCCGGGACTGTCCCCGGGGGACGTCCCGGTTGGGCTGTCTCCCGGAAAATGTCTTCTGGGGACTATTCCTCCTTTGGGGGAAGTCTCCTGGTGACTGTTTCCTGGTGACTGTCTCCTGGTGACTGTCTCCGGGGGACTGTCTCCTGGCGACTGTCTCCAGGGTGATGTCTCCCGGTGGGGGTTTTTCCTGGTGACTGTCTCCTGGGGACTGGGCTCCCGGTTGGGTGTCTCCTGGTGACGGGCCCCCTGGTGATTTTCTCCTGGTGGGAAAATGTCCCCCTGGCGACTTTTCTCCTGGTGACTTCTCCCGGGGACTGGGGCCCCCCCGGTGACTGTCTCCTGGTGAGTCTCCCGGTTTATGCCTCCTGGTGGGCTTCTCCTGGTGACTGTCTTTTGGCACTGTCTCCCGGGGGACTGTCTCCCGGTGACTGTCTCCTGGTGAATGTCTCCTGGCGACTGTCTCCTGGTGACTGTCTTCTGGTGACTCTCTCCTGGTGACTGTCTCCTGGTGACTGTCTCCTGGTGACTGTCTCCTGGTGACTGTCTCCTGGTGACTGCCTCCTGGTGACTGTCTCCTGGTGACTGTCTCCTGGTGACTGTCTCCTGGTGACTGTCTCCTGGTGACTGTCTCCTGGCGACTGTCTCCTGGTGACTGTCTCCTGGTGACTGTCTCCTGGTGACTGTCTCCTGGTGACTGTCTCCTGGTGACTATCTCCTGGTGACTGTCTCCTGGTGACTGTCTCCTGGCGACTGTCTCCTGGTGACTGTCTCCTGGGGGACTGTCTCTTGGTGACTGTCTCCTGGTGATGTTTTCCTGGTGACTGTCTCCGGTGACTGTCTCCTGGTGACTATCTCCTGGTGACTGTCTCCTGGGACTGTCTCCTGGTGACTGCCCCTGGGGGACTGCCTCCTGGTGACTGCCTCCTGGTGACTGCCTCCTGGTGACTGTCTCCTGGTGACTGTCTCCTGGTGACTGCCTCCTGGTGACTGCCTCCTGGTGACTGCCTCCTGGTGACTATCTCCTGGTGACTGTCTCCTGGTGACTGTCTCCTGGTGACTGTCTCCTGGTGACTGTCTCCTGGTGACTGTCTCCTGGTGACTGTCTCCTGGTGACTGTCTCCTGGTGACTGTCTCCTGGGGGACTGTCTCCTGGTGACTGTCTCCTGGTGATGTCTCCTGGTGACTGTCTGCTGGGGATTATCTCCTGATACGTCTCCTGGTGACTGTCTCCTGGTGACGCCTCCTGGTGACTGCCTCGGGGGACTGCCTCCTGGTGACTGTCTCCTGGTGACTGCCTCCTGGTGACTGTCTCCTGGTGACTGTCTCCTGGTGACTGTCTCCTGGTGACTGTCTCCTGGTGACTATCTCCTGGTGACTGTCTCCGGGTGTAATGTCCCCCTTGGTGACTGTCCCTGGTGACTGTCTCCTGGTGATTATCTCCTGGTGACTGTCTCCTGGTGACTGTCTCCTGGTGACTGCCTCCTGGTGACTGCCTCCTGGTGACTGTCTCCTGGTGACTGCCTCTTGGGTGCTAATCTACAGACTACATATTAGACTACAGGCTACAGGCTAAACTACATGTTAGACTACAGGCTACAGGCTAGTCTACATATTAGACTACAGGCTAGTCTACATATTAGACTACAGGCCTCAGGCTAGATTACGTGTTATACTATAGGCTACAGGTTAGATTATATATTAGACTACAGGCTACAGGCTAGTCTACATATTAGACTACAGGCTACAGGCTAGACTACATTTTAGACTACAGGCTACAAGACAGATTCCCCCTAGTACCTGACCTTGCTAAGTTTAACCACTAAATCACCTCTTTCCTGCATTCCCCCTACCCCTTACTGTATCCTCACGGTGCTCCAGGAACCCCTTTACCACACGTACCGACACTTCCTCCCTTGATTCATCTGTCTACACTTCCGTTTATTCTCCTCTCTTTCTCTGTTCCCGATTATTTTGTGTAGACATACATGGAGACGGTATCTACAGATCTGTTGTCTAACTCTGCTGGTGATTTGTTGTCTAACTCTGCTGGTGATCTGTTGTCTAACTCTGCTGGTCATCTGTTGTATAACTCTGCTGGTGATCTGTTGTCTAACTCGGCTGGTGATCTATTGACAATAAATCAAAGTCAGCTGTGTAGTAGCACTGGACATCACTGGTGCTGTCGACCGGGTGTGGCACCAGTGCCTCTTGTCAAAACTACCAGCACTGGGAATTGCAGGCTCTATACTCTGTCTCCTGAGTGATTACCCTCAAGGTAGATCTCTAAGGGTGGTTCCCAATGGGATGACCGTCAACAAGACAACCTATTGTTCCACAAGCAAGCGTTCTTGGGCCATTATTATGCTATGTCAACTTCAGTGACCTCCATTATATCCCTGACTCCCATGTATATACTGACGAATGTACTCTGACATTCACTTATACTGACGAATGTACTCTGGCATTCACTTATACTGACGAATGTACTTTGGCATTCACTTATACTGACGGAAATGCCAGCTGCTCTAAGCTACATCAGTCACCAGCTAAGACCTACCTCAGCTTGGGGAAAACGATGGCAGGTAACATTTAAGAAAACACAAATGATAATGGTCTCTAGACACCATGATGGTAATGGCAGAGCAGTAGTAACTATGAATGGGAGGGTGTTGGTACCCGGGGACGAAGCTGATAACCCTGGGGCGAAATTTGACTCCAAACTGACCATGAACAATCACGTTGTAAATCTTGTAAATTTAGTAGCCAGGAAGCTTACAGTACTTTGTAGTATCTCGCACCAGCTCGACGGTAGAAGCTGCAAGACTATGTACGAGGGACAAGTGTGTTCACACCTTGAGTATGCTCCACTTTCTTGGATTGCCTGCCCTCTGTTTCATCTGTGACTGCTTGACAGAGTAGAAAACAGAACAAAAGGACTCATCTCTGGCCTGGACCCAGCAGAGCCTTCAACACAGGAGGAATGTGGGTGGCCTTACTGTTATGTACAAGGACAATACTGTCCTTGTACATAACAGTGAGAGGACGGCTTCTATACCACAAGACGGGCAGTGAGAGGCCAGTTTCTACACCACAAGACGGGCAGTAAGAAGACAGTTTCTACACCACAAGACGGGCAGTGAGAGGACAGCTTCTACACCACAAGACGGGCAGTGAGAAGACAGTTTCTACACCACAAGATGGGCAGCGAGAGGACAGCTTCTACACCACAAGACGGGCAGTAAGAAGACAGTTTCTACACCACAAGACGGGCAGCCAGCAGCAACTTCACTCTGAGATCATTTATTCCCAGGATGCCTCGAGTCTGAAACATGTTCTGTACAGAATAATATCAGCGAAATAAAATCAGTTGATCAAATGAAAGAGTTGGCCCACAGATGGCCCACAGCTGGCCCACAGATGGCCCTCAGCTGGCCCACAGATGGCCCTCAGCTGGCCCACACATGCCTAAAATTTCATCCTCTGATCCACAGCTGGCCCACAGATGGCTCCACCCTCATCCTGTATGTAGGTAACAGCTCCTGGCTTGTAAATACAGTTAGGAAAGTTAATCTAACCTGTGACACCCTGAGAAAGAGAGAGAGAGGAGAAGAGGGGAGAGAGAGAGAGAGAGAAGAGAGAGAGAAGAGAGAGAGAGAGAAGAGAGAGAGAGAGAGGAGAGAGAAAGAATCAACTTACAGCTTCCAGGAGCTTAAATCAACATTGCTTGGAGGTTCAACTCCCTGTAGAGCTCAAAAGATCTCTTACAGCCTTAAATATTTTCACTGTTAAGGGGTTCAGTACTGTACTAGAGCGTTTAATACTCCACTAGAGGTTCATACTCCACTAGTGTTTCATACTCCATAGAGGGTTCAATACTCCACTAGAGGTTCAATACTCAGAGGGTTCAATACTCCACTAGAGGTCAGTACTCCACGAGGGGTTCATACTCCACTAGAGGGCTCAATACTCCACTAGAGGGTTCAGTACTCCACTGGAGGGTTCAATACTCCACTAGAGGGTTCAGTACTCCACTAGAGGGTTCAATACTCCACTAGAGGGTTCAGTACTCCACTAGAGGGTTCCATACTCCACTAGAGGGTTCAATAAATCCATAGAGGGTCAGTACTCCACTGGAGGGTTCAATACTCCACTAGAGGGTTCAGTACTCCACTGGAGGGTTCAATACTCCACTAGAGGATTCAATACTCCACTAGAGGGTTCAATACTCCGAGAGGGTTCAATACTCCACTAGAGGGTTCAATACTCCACTAGAGGGTTCAGTACTCCACTGGAGGGTTCAATACTCCACTAGAGGGTTCAAGAGAGCCCCTGGCGCCACGCTCATAAGAAGAACTAAAGCTCACTGAAGGAGGGGGTTTACAGGTTTCAATAGTTTTTTCAGAACCCAGGGTTTAAATTTTAAAACTTACCTCTCTCCTCTCTCTCTTCTCCTCTCCACGGGGCTTCCCTCTCCATCTCTCATCCTCTCTCTTCTCTCTCCTCTCCTCTCTCTCTCTCTCCCCTCTTCTCTCTCTCTCTCTCCTCTTTTCTTTCTTCCCTTCTTCCTTTGTTCTAATCCTTTCCCCCTTATTTTTTCCCCTTCTCCTTTTTTCCCAGAAATACTGTTTTTGGAATCCCCCTGTAATCCCACTAAAACTCCTGAATCCCACTGATCCCCTCTGTAATCCCCTGGGAAACCCCCTGTAATCCCACTGGAAACCCTTTGTAATCCCCCATAAATCTCATGAATCCCACATGGAATCCCCTGTAATCCCCCTGGAATCCCCCTGTAATTCCCACTGGAATCCCCCGAATCCCAATCATGAAGTTAAAAATTTCCCCGAAGTTAAAACATTAAATTCCGGGATCAAGGAGGGTATTCCTAAGCCCAAAGGGGGATTCCAGGGGGCAAAGGGGGTATTCCAGGGGCCAAGGGGTAACCAGGGGGGCAAGGGAGGTATTCCGGGGGCCCAAGGGAGGGTATCCAGGGGGCCAAGGGAGGGTATTCCGGGGGCCAGTAGGGTATTCCAGGGGCAAGGGAGGTATTCCCGGGGCCAAAGGGGGGGATTCCGGGGCCAAGGAGGGTATCCAGGGAGCCAAGGGAGGGTATTCCAGGGGGCCTGGGGGTATCCCCCTTCCCCAGGGCAATGCTACCCATGGGTGCCAAGTGAGGGTATTTCCAGGGGCCCGGGAGGTATTCCAGGTGGGCCAAGGGGGTATTCCAGGGGCCTAAGGGACTGGTAATTCCAAGGGGCCAAGGAAGGGTTATTTCCCCCGGGGGTATTCCAAAGGGGGAAAGGTGTTCCAGGGGGCTAAGGGAGAGTTTCCAGGGGCCAAGGCGAGGGGAGGGGGGTATTCCAGGGAGGGTCAAGGCGACGTATTCCAGGGGTCAAGGCGAGGGTGTTCCAGGGTCAACGCCCCGCAACGGGTCATGACCTGGCTTGTGATAATTTGTATATCAAATTCAACTTTGACAAAGTCATCAACTTAGAAGCACTTGTTGACCTGATCCAGTGTTCAGAAATGACCGTGGTTTTAGATGTTCAAGGCTTGGGCTTGGAGCGAGTTGCAGGGGGCGCTGACCCCCTGAAGGCAGCCTTGATGTATTCTCCAGGCTGAGGGACTGACCCCCTCAAACACTTTTTCTCCAAGTTGATGGACTGGAAATGAAATTTTATTTCATTACTATGCTGCCCTGTATTGACTGAAGAAGCCTACTGTGTAGGTAGTTTCATCAGTAAAGATACCCAACTGTTGCACAAGTGTCTTAATCTTCACACTTTTTACTAAGGAAAACGAAGAGCAGGTGTGAGATAGAGAGGGACGCTTCCTCTACAGCCAGAGGGCGAAATCACAAACAGTGTCTTGCAATGTTTTATTTCGTATTTGGGACGATGATTATGGAATGTTTAATGTAAGAGCTTAAGAAAGAAGGAACACTGGCAGTAGGCCTGTTGGCATCCATACTAGGCAGGGTTCTTTACAATTCAACCAACTAACAAACATTTTGACCAACAAATTTTCAATGCCACCATGAAATATGCTCCCTGATGGTGAAAGTCCCACTCAAATCACCACCTCCCACTCATGTACTTATCATCCTAAATTTGAAACTACCCAAAGTCCTAGCCTCAACAACCCCAACTAGGTAGACAATTCCGCTCATAACTACCCTATTTCCCAAACACCAAGACTTTCCTATGTCCTTTCTAAAAATCTAAACTTATCTTAAGTTTTAAATACTGTAAACTTACCTAATTTCAATAATAGACTCAAATTTCAAGTTTATGGGAGAAAATGAGGAGAATTAGTGTGGAATGGGTTACAAAACACATTCTAGCCACACAATAGGCGGAAAATCTGGTCTAGAGGACTTAGGAGTGTAATGTTTTGAGGAGCTGTACCTTCCAAACATCACAACAGTGTCACAGAGACAAATGATTGTATGGATAAATAGACCTTTAAACAAGGGATGCCAAGCCATGTCATGATCATTTTTACAGTCTCACTGGTTCTCTTGGCTGGAATATTGCTGTTACACTAACAGCTTATTTCAAGAAGGTGACATGGACAACCTGGAGAATGCACACTGGAGGAATACATCACACACTTATGTTGGTAAAGACGGAGAAAGTCTCTCAACCAGTTAATCCCCGGAACGCAGGCGAGGAAAGTATTTCTTCATAATCTTTATTTGGAAAATCCTAGAGGGATGTTCCACCAGAGTTACACACACACAAAATACAATAATATAATCAAGTGGCATGCGATAAGTCGTGGCTATATACATACATCGTTTGTAAAGCGCTGGGTGTTATGTGTTGTCAACACGATTTGGGGTGGGGGGCCTAGTAATATGCTTCAGCGGCTAAGTGATTGGGTTGTAATTGTGTACGGGGGGATCCTGGTGTTCTGATGGGGGTCATGGCGAGGGGGGGCGGAGAGGGAGCGTGGGGAGTGAAGAAGGAGGAGGGGAGTGAAGCAAGGAGAGAGGGTGTGAAGAAGGAGAGAGGAGTGAAGAAAGGAGAGCTGAGCTGAAAGAAAGGAGAGAGGAGTGAAGAAGGAGAGCGGGGAGAAAGAAACGGAGAGAGGCGTGAAGCCAGGAGCGAGGAGTAGTGGAGAAAGGAGAAAGGAGTGAAGAAAGGAGAGCGGAGTGAGAAGGAGAGAGCAGTGAAGAAAGGAGCGGGGAGGGAAATAACGGCGAGTAGGCGAGATGACAGTGCGCGATGAGTCACAGACACGGAGCGCGGGCGTTACAGACCGGCGAGCGGCGTACAGCTCCGGCGTACCTTCTACCCTCCCTTCTCTCCTTCTACCTCTCTGTCTCTCTTTCTACCTCCCTGACTCTTATACACCTCCCGTTCTACTCCTCTACCTCCCTTCTCTTTTCATACCTCTCATTCTCTCTTCTACCCTCCCTTTCTCTTCTTACCCTCTCTTCACTTTCTACCCTCCCTTCTCCTTGCTACCCTCCCTGCTCTCTTCTACCCTCCCTTCTCTCTTCTACCCCTCCCTCTTCTCTTCTACCCCTCTCATCTCTCTGTAGCTACCCTTTCCCTTCTATCTTTCTTACCCCCTCCCTTCTCTGCTTGTATCACCTCCCTTCTCTCTTCTACCTCTCTTCTCTCTTCTACCCTCCACACTTCTATCTTCACCTCTCTTCTCTTTCTACCCTCACTTTCTCTTCTACACTCTCCCTTCTCTTTCTACCCTCCCTTCTATTTCTACCCTCCCTTCTCTCTTCTACCCTCCTTCTCTCTTCTACCCTCCCTTCTCTCTTCTACCCTCCTTCTCTCTTCTACCCTCTCTTCTCTCTTCTACCCTCCCTTCTCTCTTCTACCCTCCCTTATCTCTTCTACCCTCCCTTCTCTCTTCTACCCTCCCTTCTCTCTTCTACATTCCATTCTCTCTTCTACCCTCCCTTCTCTCTTCTACCCTCCCTTCTCTCTTCTACCCTCCCTTCTCTCTTCTACCCTCCCTTCTCTCTTCTACACTCTTTTCTCTCTTCTACCCTCCGTCTCTCTTCTACCCTCCCTTCTCTCTTCTACCCTCCCTTCTCTCTTCTACCCTCCCTTCTCTCTTCTACCCGCCCTTCTCTCTTCTACCCTCCCTTCTCTCTTCTACCCTCCCTTCTCTCTTCTACCCTCCCTTCTTTCTTCTACCTCCCTTCTCTCTTCTACCCGCCCTTCTCTCTTCTACCCTCCCTTCTCTCTTCTACCCTCCCTTCTCTCTTCTACCCTCCTTTCTCTCTTCTACCCTCCCTTCTCTCTTCTACCCTCCCTTCTCTCTTCTACCCTCCCTCAACTCCTCGCTCCTCTCACTAACATTTTACTTCATAATTTAGTGACTTAAAAAGATTTGAGGAGTGGAAATTGTCTGTGAGACAGTGACAGTGACAGAGACAGTGACAGTGACAGTGACAGAGACAGTGACAGTGACAGAGACAGTGACAGTGACAGTGACAGAGACAGTGACAGTGACAGTGACAGTGACAGTGACAGTGACAGTGACAGAGACAGTGACAGTGACAGTGACAGTGACAGTGACAGTGACAGTGACAGTTGCAGAGACAGTGACAGTGACAGTGACAGAGACAGAGACAGTGACAGAGAGAGTGGCCATGACAGTGACAGTGACAGAGAGAGTGACAGAGACAGTGACAGAAACAGTGACAGAAAGACAGTGACAGAGAGACAGTGACAGAGAGATAGTGACAGAGAGACAGTGACAGTGACAATGACAGAGAGATAGTGACAGAGAGACAGTGACAGAGACAGTGACAGAGAGACAGTGGCCATGACAGTGACAGTGACAGAGAGAGTGAC